CTGAATATTTTCACTCGGGAAAATATTTTTGATGATTTCTGGGGGACTGATTTGGACTAAGTAAGGTCTATAACTAAAAAGTTTCAGGTGATGATGGAATTTTCTATATCCTCATCAAAAAACTCCCTGAGAGTACCTTGTCTTTCTTGGTAAAATTATTTAACAGTTGTTTCAATTTGGCATACTTTCCTGATAAATGGAAAAATGCAAAAGTTGTTGTAATTTTGAAGCTGGATGAAAATCCAGCTGAAGCTTTTAGCTACCGTCCAATAGGTTTGCTTTCTTCAATAAGTAAAATTTTTGAAGAGATAATTTTAAATAGAATGATGCTTCACATCAATACGAACTCAATTTTTGCAGATGAGCAGTTTGGATTTCGCCATGGGCATCAACTCTTAAGAGTTACCAATTTAATTCGTTCAAACAAATCTGAAGGCTACTCAACTGGAGTTGCTCTTCTAGACATAGAAAAAGCATTCGACGGCAGAGGTGGCAACAGTACATTTTTTGAAAAACCATCGTCCAGAGCGAAACAAAACAGCCAGCACACGGGCGGCCGTTTAAAACTACATTCCAAGCGAACAGCGGAGATAGAGAATAAATAAAATCTCGCAGCCTGATTTTTCCAAACATTTTATTGTAATGAAATTTTAGCTGCAGGCTTGCGTGTGACAGTAAATTACCAACTCCCTTATTTACGCATAATTGTAACATCAATGCTTATGAGTGGTCAGTCTTCATTCTTATCTTTTAATTCCATGCAATAAACATCAAATAAATGCAGTAATTAGCCAGAAATCAGCAAAATTCTACACGACATAAATTTATGTCGCGCGCGCCGCCGGTCTTGTCTGCTTCTATGTGCGAAAATGTTCTGTCGCTGGCAGAAAACAGTTTAGAAATGTCATGACATTTTTGCCACTTGCCAGTTTGTTTTTGTGTGTCGTCACAATGGTTATCGCAAAAAGTATCAAATGTTAAGGAAAAAATGTTAAACTCCAGGACTCGTGCCACCACTGTTCGACGGTGTTCGGTATGATGGTTGGGTTGCTAAATCGAAAAAGTTTAATTTTCCACCCTATATTATGAAATTATTTCAAAATTATTTAACTGACAGAACTCTGCAGGAGCCGGCGCCGGTGGTGTAGTGGTAAGCGTGACTGCTTTCCAACACCCCGATGGGTCTGGGTTCAATCCCAGCCGAGGTCGGTGGGATTTTCCTGAGGCATAAACATCTCTGGTCACGTCTTCCTTCGGAAGGGAAGTAAAGCCGTTGGTCCCGGCCCATGTGTGTTGAATGGGTGCGATATCCTACGCAGGTGTGGAAGCTGCCTTCCTGCACATTCGATTGCCGTCAATGGATGGCAATCGATGTCCGTCGGTGATTGGCACTAGATTGCGGAACAGAGACCGACGTTAAATAAAGGAAAGAAGAAGAACTCTGCAGGTAAATTATCAACATTCCATATATGAACGACTACCTGTTAGAGCAGGAGTTCCCCAGGGGCTACCTCTTCTTGGGCATAAACAGAAAAAAAAATTGTTGAATATTACATCCAAACTGCTGCAACCAGGTGAATCCATCGGTTTTGTGATATAACGTTGTACGATGTACATCGATTTTACGAACAAAATTACATCCATTGATGTATTGTATCCAGGGCGTCACAATATCAGCTTCAATCGAGCAAATCGAAGCGACGAAGATACTGCTGGCTTTCTTTTTATGTTATCGATCAGCTTCGCAGCATTCTAGAACCTCAGTCGGCGTGCACAAACAAATGTTCAATCGCTTGTCTCTCTTTCTCCCGTCGCTCCATTGGTCTTCCTTTCAAGCTTCGCTGAAACTGATGAGCGAAAGAGCGCTCGACTTTGATAGTTTTCTCTTTCATGAAACACATCAACAGAGGTTTCATGACGTATATGACGGAAAATGAAATTACATATTTAAAGCATTTCTCACGTGAAAACACTTGAAGATTACACGTAATATGTTTAATTTATCTTTCATCCATATATTTATCTAAAAAAAATTAACGAAAACGGGACATAACGCATTTTAAACAAATTGAAAGATCGGTGATAGAGTGTTCGTGAAAGGGGATTGAAAGCCGTAATGAGGTTTAGTTTAACTAGAAAATCGACGTTACTTACATTGAAAGCGATGAGCAAAGCAGCGAAGAAAAGATCCACAGTCAGCCTTTCCTTCTAAGCGTGCCTCTTTTTCATTTTCGTTTCTTGCTGATAGTCTAGCTAGGCGTTATAGAAATGAAGCGTTGAACACGTTTGTATGAGAGAAACAAAACTCGAGTTCATTTTAGAGCTTCGAAAATGTAGAGCCCTGATTGTATCTGCTTTTTGCTATTACATCATTATGTCATACATCAGCTTAAATAACTTTGATCGATATTACATTTTTTTTGCTGTGTATATGGAGTTAATCATAAAGGTCGAAAGTTTTATGCAAATACCGAATAACTATCTTTTGAAATCGTGAATTTTTAAATCATATCTCATGAATCTTAAATAAACAACTACAATTGAAAAATAATGGGAAAATTGTGTTTTACTTAAGTTTTGATGTGTCCGCATTATTGTGGATACAGACCTTTTGTTTAAACATCTTAACAATCTGCATGTTTTGTTACTGGAGTTTTTACCAGATTTTTTTTCGTTTGTTGACGAATGTTTGTGATTTTTATTTCAGTGTGTATTTTTTCTCTAAAAATCAATCAATTTTCTAACAGCTTTGTCTCAGACGTCATTTTGATTAAAAGAGCCGTTTTCATTCTATGAAATAGAAACATTGAATAAGGCCATTTTGAAAATTAGGCGAGAGTTAAAATGGCCGAATTCCGGAACAAACTTGATTCATTGCCATAGCGAACAATTATGCGAAGCGTCATGGAATTCTGAGCGGTTAAATCTAAAATTTGAGTATTTTATTTGGCCCGGAACTGCTCAAACCAGATACTCAGATTGGAAAAACAATGCAGAGCTAAGTTGTCGAAGACCGCAAATCCAGTCCATAAACAATTTGGTTCAAATTAGGCCCAGTTGGTGGGGACCACAATACAGATCGAAAGAGCAGTGGGGTGCAGGGGGTTCAATCATTCTTCCGTGCAGGCAGTTCGTTCCGGTGAGCTAATCCTTTACGTCAAACAAATGCGTCACTACGCTTCGATATCGCAATCCATCAACCTAGAGCCGGTTACCTACGTCATGGTAATGGAATATTGACAAGGTACAAGAAGCACGTTTCTTCATCAAGCACGAGCCTCGCATTTTGCTGAAGTTCATCAAAACAATCAGACTAAAAAAAAAAACAGTTTATCCTCACGGTTATCTTTCTAGTTTGGAATTTAATTGCTGTCACTACGATGTTGTTGTCATCAGCGCTTGAGGGCATGAAGCAACTGTGCTGATAAGCTACCGTCACGCCGAAAGGTTTATTTTTGAGTATTTGAGGAGGTAGTTTTAGACTTATTATGATGTTCTGCCGTTGAATGAATGGAAGACAATTTTCTCGTTATCAACTGTTGTCAGCAAAGTTGATAAGCAATTTCTGGGTGCGTTGATTTAACATTGCATGAATGACATTAATTTTTGAACACTTTACAACCGGGTGATCCACTGGTGCACTTGAATCTATAAACCGCGTTGAAAGTAAATGCTGTCCATTCGAGTATCCGCTTAAGATAACTCAGAAATCCTTTGTGGACGATAAGTGAAAGTACCCCCTTTCAAGTATGATGATTTCATACTTTGTTACAATGAATCTATGTACTTCAACTCCTAGAGCTACGAATGCCTTGAAGCTGCTAGGCGGTTGGATCTTAAAAGTATTTCGTACGGGGCTTTTTCATTTTATTTTCCCTCAGCTAAAATGTTTTGAGTGCACGAAGAAGCGATAACAAATCAATCTCGACTACAATGACAATACATCTAGGGTGTCAGTGCAAGGTGTCAGATAAAATCAAAACATATGTAATTAAGTTTTAATAGCGCTAAGTGATGCATCGATTTGGTGCTAAAATTACATAGAGCAGTTCCAGGCAATTAACCTTCTCCGACTTGCTTGAAAATTTACGTGCTTGTTTTTTGGGCAATGCTTCATTTTTGATAAACTTCGGCCATTTTGGATCTTGTGTAATGTTCAAAATGGCACATATGAATTTTTAAATAATTGTAGCACGAAAACGGCATTTCTGATCGAAATGACAGCTGAGACATAATTGAAGAAAAAAATAATGCCTTAACATTAAAAAAAAAAATATATAAAACGGACATAGACATTTTGAGGAATTAAGGTTTATAACATTTCTACTTGAAATAATTTAAAACACTTTTTGTATATTTTTCCATAATTTTTCTCCACAACTTTGTCTCAGACGTCATTTCCATCAGAAGTGCCGTTTTCATGCCACAATTGATTGAAAATTTTAAATACGTTGTTTTGAAAAATTTACAAGATCTAAAATGGCCGTATTTTAACAGAAAAAGTGAATCATTGCCCAAAACAAAACAAAATATGCAAAGTATATTGCAAATCGGAGAAGGTCGATTCAAAAATTCAAATACAACTCTGAATTGACGATAAAGTTAGGTTCAATGTTCGCTTGCCAATACTCTGTATGGTTTTATTCTAGAGTTTTTAAGAGTTTTATCTAATTCATGCCACTTTCAATAGAAAACCACTCACCATAGACAAACAGACGTTACTATTTGAATAAATTAACCTAAAAATTATCGTCATGGAACTCACTAGCGACATTTCGCTAGCTATTCACGGAAAAAGCTTGCTTGCAAAGTCTCAAGCAATGTTGCATGCAAGTTCGATGACATGCATAGAAGCGTCAAAGTAGGTGATTCGTAAAACTAATAAAATTTAAAATGAACGATTGTATGTGCACTCACGTTGCTTCCCCCCCATTTCAATCGTGGCAACAACTCGCCAGAATGATGTAATAGCGACTAAACAGTAGTTTCTCTCATTCCAGCCCGTTCGGTTGAGCAGACGAGTCTACGAGCAGGAGTTCAATCCAACTGCCAACGGAACAGCAAGGTCTGTGGGCAAGTTCTCCCCGAAGGGCAAAGAACGTGAGTCTGGGTTGGGAAGCTTGGATGAACGATTGCATGTTCCGAATGGAACGTCATGGGCTGCGAGGCCTATTTCGGCTCCGCAGCCACAGTTCGAACGAAAGGCGCCACTACCGTCGGTGGCGGTCAAAGATAGCATCAGTGCCAGTTCGCAAGAACAGGAAAGAAACGTCAATCAAGAGCTTCTCAAAGAGATTCAGCAGACTAAAATACTCCTCCAGTTAGCGCTGGAGTCAAAGATGCGGGAACATCCCAATAAAGAAGATAGTCAGCATTTGGTGAGGCTTGAAAAAGAAATCAAAGAACTACAGAACCGTATCAGTACCAGTTCGAAGACGGCAGGACCAATACCCGTTCAGGAGCCCATTGTTGTCAAGCAGGCCCTTGGCATAATCGGATCCAGTCCCAAGCCACCACCGGGCAATTCTCGTTCGAATCTCCCAAAATCCGCATTCAGTAGACAAATTTCCACCGTACCCATACAGAATTCGGAAGCAAACGATACATCAGATGACTACGACACGATACCGCTGATGAAGCCTAGGGTTCAACCAGTTCGGGAAGCTTCTAGTTCCGAGGAAGACGATGAACCAAATCCTGCATTACTGCCACCTAGCGGAAGCGAGGACACACTAAGTTATGACGATGAACAAGATGACACCTCTCAAGATGAAGAACCAACTCCTCCAAAGCTACCTCCACCGCGGATACCTCCCGAAGTAGATGACATGATCAACAGGGCCGTTCCGTTGGTTTTGGTTGAAAAGGTTTGTGTCCCACATTCGACGCTATGTAATTGAAAGTAAGTAAAAATGTGTGTTTTCAGCAACCTCCACCGGTGCCAAAGGGTCCTCCACCAAGTCGTATCCCTCCACCGACTCCAGTAGAAGAGATCTCCACGTTGGAAATAACTCAAAGGGAATCGGAAGATTCCCTCCCGCCTCCGAAAATCGAAGAGTTGAACGCCAGTCGGTCTGGTATTTTGAAGAAGGTTCGCAAAGAGGGTGTTGTTTCGGACAAACCGGAAGCCAAGACTTCTCGAGATATCATTATTCCCAGTCATCCTAAGACGGCGGAAGCAGAGTTGCTGATACGAAAAGCCATTACGGCGAATGAATTCCTGAACAATCTGATGGATGAGGAACGCTTGAAAGCTGTGACGGATGCGATGAGTCCGATGGCATTCCCACCCAACAGCTACATCATTAAAGAAGGGGACATCGGAGCGCACTTCTTCGTGTCCGCAGACGGAACCTACGAAGTGGTGGCAGAGAATAAAGTGATCAAGTCCTTTGGACGAGGAGTTGTGTTTGGAGAGTTGGCTATTCTGTACAAAGCGAAGAGATTTGCCTCCATTCGGGTGACGACGGAGGCGAAGGTTTGGATGTTGGAGAGAAAGGTCTTCCAGAAGATTATGATGAAGAGCGGGAGGAAGGAGCGAGAGGAGAACGTTAAGTTTTTGAGCACGGTGTCAATTCTGAAGGATCTGGAAATCCAGAAGCTTCTGAAGATATCGGATCTTCTGAAGAGGGTTAGTGGAATGAATTATTGGTTTGAGTTCGATTTATAACAAGAACTGTTTCTTTAGGAATTCTACGCCACAGGGTCAACTATCATTCAACAGGGGGACCCTGGAGATAAATTCTACATAATTCGGGGCGGCAGCGTAAATGTAATCAAAACCGATCGCCATGGAGTGGACAAGCTGGTGGGAACTCTGCAGAGGGGGGCATACTTTGGGGAGCAAGCTCTGCTCCATGAGGATCGGCGGTTGGCGAGTATAATTGCGAATCCTCCTGGAACGGAATGCTTGACGTTGAATCGAATGTAAGTTGGAGTGAAAAATCAGTTCAATTACGATCATGGTTAATATTATTGATATTCAATTTAGAGCATTCAACGAATTCCTCGGAGGGCTGGAGCAACTTCGGGAGATAAAATTATCCGACGATTTACCTAGAGTTTCCGGAGCCAAGAATACTGCTTCGGGTGAGTCAATCAGATCCCTCTTTTGCTTGTGACAAATCGAATTACAGTTTTCAGTGCGCACTGCTCTAACAATTCCCACCATTTGAATCCTGATAACGTAAAATTCCGACAGCCCCGAAGCAAAGCACCCCTCCTTTCGCAGTCAACCGATAATGAGAGTGACATTATTCTACATCCTCTACATGTTTCTCCACACAGAGTACGATCACATCCAGCTGCACGATCTGACCTACATCGGCACGCTCGGCATCGGTGGTTTCGGGCGGGTCGAGCTGGTTCAGTACCAGAAGCAGAAAACGTTTGCCCTCAAGTATCTGAAGAAGATCGAAATGGTGCGGCAGCAGCAGCAGGAGCACGCCTACAGCGAGAAGGACATTATGCTGAGCTGTAATAGCCCGTTTATTGTGAGGTAGGTACCTACTGATGGATCTGAAAAGGGGGGGGGGGGTTGTAGGCTGTCTTAGTTTTGTATATATAGTATGGAAAAATAAACCTTCAAAAGGCTGACCTGTTCTGTTGATCTGTACACCAGTACCCCTGAACAGTGGAGCAATGACCCCAGTAGTGGCGTGACCAAAACCTCTAGCGCCGTAGGTTTGCATCCTACAGATTTGTACTCATGTAAAAAGTTGTATAGTTTTTAAAAAGCCAGCTTTTGGTGGTTCGTATTCCTGCCGCATAGGTGGCTCGAATCTATCTTTTGAACTGAGCTTCCTACAAGGATTATTTTGTGTATTTTATAGTTGTGGAAATTGAAATAGAGAGGGACAATGCTGTCAGTAACGAACATGATGCTTTGAGCAAAACAATTACATGGAGCCGTGTGTGTGAAGAAAAATCTACGTCCTGAACTGCTTCGATAACAATAATGTGACTCAGAATTCACGGAATTACACTTTTTGTTACCAGGTGAATCTTTGTCATTGACGAAAAAAAAATATTAAATTTTGACGAAGGGTTTTCGGAGGATCAAGTCTATCAGTGACTATGTGAAAAACATCTTTTTTTCAATATCGCGTGAAAGTCTGTCACTGAAAATGACAAATCTCAGCACTGCTTAGAAGTAATCGATCGATTCTATGTGAATTTCGTGTTTCTCTGTTGTTCGTCGGAAATGCAAATCATCACTCATATTATTGTTTTCGTTCGTACCGTATTTGTCATACAAAACATGGTGTTGTTGTGTGGAAAGCCAGAAAATAGGTGCGGAATACTGGTCATTCATTTCGGTTATGGTTATCGTGGGACTGAGATTGTCCAAAAGAGAAATGAAGAGAGATGGAAGAAAAATTAAACATTCTTATTGTGCAGCTATTAGTAGTATTGGTTGATGTGCAGAAGGAGCATTTGGAACTAAATATTTTATCTGAAGTGGATAGATTTCATGTGTTTGAATTTCTATTTTAAGTATATGTAGCTTAGAATCGGCAAATTTCGAAGAGCAAGGAAAGTGCAAATATTGATGGGATTTATTTTATCAATTTCTGGACCTAAGAAATGCAACGGTGGAGCAGTTTGAATGCATAGTTCATAAATCCGCATCCGCATGACATCTATCATGGAATTATTTGTAATATGCGTCACAAAAATGGAGGCGAAAAAAGTAAGAGGCTGTATCCAAGACACGACCGTAGATTTGACGTGGGATTACGTGCACGGTATCAATATTCGGCAACTGTGGTAGGGAAGCCACTTTTTCCCATCACGGATGCGCCTGATGACAAAATTACTCATTTTCGTGCACAAAACGCACGGAATTTTTAGTGTGTTCACTAGATATAATGAAAAGCGTAAATTTATTGTAAGAATTTCTAGCTAAAATTTTCCAATCACGAGATATGTGCACAATCAATCAAATAAATTCGAGATTTGTTTGCTTTTTTATAGCATAATGGAGAATATATTACCTTAGTTTGAAGTGTTTCTGGTCAATTGACAAGGTCTTGTAATATTCGGTCATTTAGAGAATTTTGAAGTACCATTTCAATACTGTTACGCATTTGACCACACACTTTTGGTTGCTGAGTACATTATCAAAGAGCTTTGAGTGATGTGACAGCAAGGAGAGCGAACGTTCATTGAACATTAATGTTTAAACAACAATAATTTATGGTGATCCTGAATGAACCGTTTTGTCGTGACGCTTGAGTAATGCTGAGCTATAAGGGTGTTCTACACGGATGAGGCTGGCGAGGTGTATGTTGTTTGAAACGAGGATGACGCGCTTGGCAAAGATGGCCCACAGTGCCTTATGATGAGCAACTGAATCCGGCTGCTGGTGCTGCTGGTGCTGCTGACGACCGGACACCACCATGTCAGCGAGACCGGATGGAATTAAATGTTGAAATCTGTGTTGGTGAAAGCGCTTTTTGCAGGCAATCGGTGATAATTTTAATTATCATAGCAACAGTTGCACATTTGTGTAGTTTTCAATAGTGACCTTTTAAAAAATGATAAATTTATTTATTAAAAATTAAAATCCATCATCTCTGGATCAAAATCAAACCTCTTTCATGCCGTGATCGACTTTGGTTTTTTGAAATTGCATCCCCAATTTTGGCTTAAAATATATGGTAGGGGAAATGGATGTTATGTCGGCTTAAATACCCCTAATTTGGGCCCATACATACATTCAATCGACTGAAATTTCAATAGCGACCAATTATATCCATTAGTACCGTCCCAATGACGCGTTCATCTAGATAAAATTGATAAATAGTAGATTTTTAGCGATGGGCCTAATCTTATATGCATAGGCCAGCATTAGAGCCATTTCCCCATTTAAACTTATAGGAACTGACATCCGAATGACAAATGTCCAGAAAATACTCTTTAACAAATTTATGGTGGTCTTGAAAAGGACCGTTTGTCGTGATGGTTGAGTAATGCTGAGCTATTATGGTGTTCAATACAGATGAGGCTGGCGAGCTGTATGGTGTTTGTAACGAGGGTGACGTGCTTGGCATAGATGGCCCACAGCGAATCACGAAGTAGCGGTGCGGCTTCTTCCTCCTTCTTCGGTGAATGGACTGCTGTTGCTGCTGCTGATGATGATGATGATGACCGACCGACACGGTGAATGAATAAGCAAAGTTCGGCGAGGCCAGATGGAATTCACTTTTGAAATCTGTGTTAGGGAAAGCGCTTTTTACAGTCAATCGAACATAATTTTGATCACCATTGAAGCAGTGGGACATTTGTGTAATTTCCAATAGTGACGTATTGAAAATTGATAAAGGGTTCATTTTAGCAGGTTCCTTGAAAATTTTTCAATCGATTGGCTTGCTTAGAATTAAAGCCCATCCGCTATTGACAGAGTGATAAGTGGTCAAAATCTGACCACTTTCCGTAACGCGGTCGATTTTGGTTTTTCGAAATTGCACCAATATCTTGCCGAAAGACGTAATCCTACGTCGAAAGGGGTAGATTTTTTCGTCGTGGAACTTTACGAGATCCATGTCGTTTGCAGCCAGAGTGCAGAGGTGGTACAGTTTGAATTCAAAATGTGTGAAGCCATCGAGAAGAACAAGGACATCGATTATGGCTGGATTTAGTAAGTTTGATCAGTTGGGAGACATGCTTAAAAATTTGTTATCATTGATCTTGATTTTCGCGCGTCGTGTGTATTCCAGTTGTTGCGATTAAATACGTTTGTTGAGTTTGGAGTTTTGGAGAGGATGTTTGCGTGATCCAGTTTGAAAAACATTCTTAATTGGGGTTGGTTGGAAATGCTAACATGAAGCTTTAGTGTGATAATTTATTAGCTAGAGAATGATCTTCAGAAGAGGGTAGGTGGATAGTTCCGTACTATTTCACAGCCGCAGTCAGTAATCAGCAAAAGGAGGACGCACATCTTTTGCCTGTAGACTTGAAGACATACTTCAAGTCTCCGCGTACATCGTACAGGCTAGGCAAAAGATGTGCGTTTGACTTTAAAACTGTCCCTTCGCTCATTTTAAACTTCTATTCAATTTTCATACTGCCGTACTCTAAGGGAACTATCCACCTACCCTCTTCTAAAGATCATTCTCTAGCTAATAAATTATCACACTAAAGCTTCATGTGAGCAACGTTTTTTTGCATTGCCCCAGAGACAAAAAGGAAAAGTGTTCTTCACCGCATCGTGATGGGTGATACAAAAAAAGATTCATTACAGCAACCCAAATATAATCTAATCTAATCTAATCTAATCTAATCTAATCTAATCTAACACCAACACAGCCAGTTCTTGAAAGCACCCTGGAAAATGATATATATACCTTCATAATTTTTCTTGTCTATTTGATACATGTTTCACATCGAAGATGCGTCACACATATCAAAACGGCCAAGCCTACTGTGCAGCATTTAAGGGGCAAGATGATTCAGAACACATCGGGCCTGTTTAAATAGAAGATTTAAACACGATACTTCAGAATCTAATAAATGGATGAAACGTGGACATCTCGTACCGTAGGTGCCGTTTTTGTTAATTATATGATTGGTTGGTCGTTGGAAGCATCAAAGCTAGAAAGGTTAAGTGATGCTCCATTTTCTTCTGACGGTTGGGGAATGAGCACTAACTTTTGTCCTATCCTTTTATGACTTCTGGCTATAGCACCATTACTCGCTTTCTGAAAAGAGAAGAGGGAAAGGAAAAGGAGAAGGACAAAGGGAAAAAGGGAAAAGGATTATGTGAAATCTATGAACAAAAAATATTTTTGATTTAAAATATACAATAAAGAAATGAATAACGGTGCGATGGTCACAACCCGAGTCTTGCCACTATTGAGCTTGAGCTTGAGCTTGATTGGTCGCCCACGGTTGCTACTCTGTTATTGCCAGATCAGCTGTAATTTCACAGAGAACCAATAGACGATGCTTGGGACTAGCAATCATCCTCAATGTGTAAAAACTGGTGATCTTAAATTAGGCAATACCAGCGCCGGCCGCGCCCGAACACAGGTCAAGAAAGGAATGGGTAGGAATGTGTTGACGTGACACTCGCTTTGATGGAAGCCGAGAACACCTCTGCACTTCCACGAGGAATCACTGGGATGTTGGATAAGAGGGTTGGGTTTGCAGCAGGGTTCGTTTTGGTAAACGATAAGCTGAATTGATGTCCTAACGATCATATAATGCGAAAGAGCTTGGGACTAAACCCACGGTCTTCTACTCAGTAAGTAAAAACGTTTGCCACTAGGCAGACGAGCACCTTTTTAATCACCGAGTTTCTGTTATTACCATGTAGCCATATTAACAAATAAAACGATTGACGAATCTTGAATGTGGATGGGCCTGAGATTAGACTCATGATGTTCTGCTCAGTAAGCAAAAACGGTTGCTCTAAGGCCACCGAGCCCGTCATATCACATAATACCGTTGCTCAAATTTTTGTATCCATTCAAACCCGGAACCAACGACAACAAC